TCACTGAACCCCTTCCCTTCATCTGCATTATCACTGAACCTTTTTTGACAAGACAAGGACCTTGTCAACAAGTAATGCCATAAACATGTCAGAAGCCTCTTCCCTCTCCTGCATGCAAGGCCAGGGCTGCACTTAAGGAGCTTTGCTGCAAACAGGTTCCAGCTTCCTCACTAGAGCCTATGTCCTCTTCTGATTTGTGTTTACTGCTGCAAGGCAAATGCCCAACCTCCTGAACCGCCTTTCCTTGTCCCTTACCCACAGGATCAAGTGGGCTCCTACTCATTGGATTACTGTGAATTTCAAAGCATCTCTGGGGGATCTTGGCTACTGAGGATGACATCAGTGTTCCCTTCCTTTGCCCTTGCTGATGAGAAGCTGGATGCAGGCATGGAGTCAGGGACAGGCTGTGCAGCAGTGTGGCTGCTCTGCTCTCACCTTACTCAGCACAGCATACACCACCAGAGAAGCTCTGTGACTCCTATCTTATTTCCTGATTATCATATACATTGACCAGAGCAGGACACCCAGTTTGGGATTTTCACAGGTCATATCTACCAGGGGAGAATATACAGGTAAAGGCAAATCAGCTGGGTTTTAAAACTCTGCTTATTTAAAGACCCATTTACTTGAAGCAACAGTAACCACACCACGCTAGGCTGTTAATTTGCTACCAGTCCAAGCTTTTCCCCAGAGGCTGCTCAGGAATTGTCTTCTTTATCAGCTTAGAAAGGTAGCCATATGCCTTCCTTATTTTGGCTTATCTTTCCAGATCCCCATTTGGGCTATCAAGTTAAACCAGCCAATCCCAAGGTTCTTTTCTTTGAAGCGGAGCAGAGAATCTACTGAAAGAATATTTTGTTTCCCTTTCAGGCTCATATGAATCACAAACAAGACAGAAAGCTCTCAAACATCCTGCCCCAAGACCTTTGGCTGCCCAGTTCCACAGCTGGGTGACTGCCCTCTCATGGCCAATGATACTTTGCTTTCCTTCTTCTAATGAAGGTGTAGCCTTTGCCAGTGGCTCATTTCCATCAGGAATTTTAATCTGACCCCACCTTTCCTGCTTATGTTTGTTCCATGAGAAACCCACTAACCAATGGTACCAGGATGCTCAGCACCTCCTGGGCCCATGCTGACTTTACAGAGCCAGGCTTCCTTCCCTGGTCTGATATTTTTGCTTCCTAGTCACCCTTTGAGCTATTTTCCCAGCAGGCTCTGGCTGCTGCTTTTTGAGAGTCTTCAAGCTTTTACTTTTCATCTTGCTTTAAATTCCTTCTGCAACTTCCTTTCTCTTGCAAACACTCTGATAAGTCATTCTCTTGTGATTTTACATAAATAAATATTTACAATTACTCTCTTTAGAAACAAAATGCATCCACCTGACATCTTTGCTGTCCATTATGACAATAGTTTGGATTCCTGCAGGGAAAAGAAAACCAAACCCTGATGATGGGGTCAGATATTCCTTTTATAGAAAGACAGCCCTGATCCCAACTCCCCCAGTGTCAGGAATCATCCCTTGTTTCTGTGTCCTTTCTCTCCTGCTGTTTCTCTCACAAATGCACAATGCCCTCTGCCCACAGCACAGCACCACAGTCCCTCCCAAGGTCCCTTCTCTGAGCTGCCCAGCCATGGCTGTCACCCCACACAGTGACACCCCACACACCCCACCCCTGCTCTTCCCAGCCCACCTTGCCCATCATCACGGCTCCAACAGTTTGGTAATATTGGTAATATCAGCCCACAAGAAAACTCAATTCTTTTCTGCAGCTCTGCCACATGAAGTCTGGCTGCAAATATTATACCTTCCTGACCCAAAGAGGATAACCTAATGCCCAATGAGATATAATGTTCTTTTTCTTCAGGAAAATAATAGGAGAAAGGCAAGGAAAGTGTGAAGAATACTGCCAATAGTGCTCTTATATCCCATTGAGTTCTTTTAGGCTGATCCACCAAAATATTTCCAAAGGACTAGGAATCAGTATTGACTATAGGAGCCAAATGAATCAAGGGATGCACTTGTGGCATGCATAGAAGGCCAGAAGAAGCACCGAGATGCAGCTCTTTTTCTCTGGATACTTCTGATAATTTAAGTACTGTCCCATCTCTCTGCAAAACCTTGATGGGCCTGGATGACCAGTAAAGGGGAGGAGAAGGAATGAGGAGGAGAGGAAGAGAGTCTTTCTACTACCTGAATTTGGAAGGTGGGTTCCTTCAGGCTGGTTCTTACAAGGTGCAGACTGGTTCATATAGCCCTACTAAAAATGACTACAGAACTCATGCCTTCATCATGTGAGTGCAGCAGTTCAGGAACCTCAGTAGGGCAGAGCTCTGAAAAATAAATGTAAATGACACCACAAACACAAGTGGTGTAAGGGTGGGGTATGACAGGTTACCCTGAAAATAACCTGCTGTCTCCAGGGGCTGAGCTACCCACCATGGGGGTCGTCACTGCCATGTGGAACCACAGCTGGATGCTCTTATAATATGTTATAATATTTATATGTTATAATATTACTCCCTGGAACATTTTCTCCAGAAATGACACTTCATCACCATGAGACTCAACTCTTTGGATCTGACATGACACTCAAAATACTTCTAGAAACAAGGATGCATTGTTGCTTGAAGCTGATGGGACTCTACGGTGGAGTTGGCAGAAAACAAAGATCCAGATTATTCTTCTTTCCCCACTTTTTGTACAAACACTTTTCCACCCTACAGGCTGTTTCCCCTTTGCTTTCTAGTTACTGCTTTGGGACATGTAAGCCTTTTTATTTGTGACATATTACACTGCAAAGATGTGTGAGGACAGAAATAAAAGTACTTTTAGGCTAGAAGTTTCCAGACACACCTGGAAAATACCTGAATGTTTTTTCCCAACTATAGGAAAGACAAGCCATCACTTAAGAACATTCTCTCTGCTAAATGGGAATAGTTCCAGAATTTGAAAGTGCACTGCTGAAATTCATTCTTTAAATGTGAAATTGCATCCTGGTGCCGAATACAAATAATTGACTCAGCTGACAGTCAGAGAACATTTGAGAAATCACTAAAATAACTGAGAATGTAAGCAGAATTAATTCACCTGCAGAGAAAATGGAATTAATTCATCTTCTGTGCCCACTGTCAGATGTCTACCAGAAAAATCAGAACTTACTGGTTTTTTCTTAGAAATTTCTTAAAATGCAGATGTAACCAAAGCTCTAAAGGCATACCTTATTATACATTTTTAATACCAAATAGGCCTGATTAGCAAGTAATAATGACACACAGGTATGTCTCAATCCAGCCCTATGGCTTTGAGCTTATGACAGAATCTTTGGCCAACTGCTATTTTTTCCACTTATTATCAAGCAAACATTGACAATTCATACATGGCAGGAGCCTCACTAAGAGCTTGTTGGGTATAAAGGTTATTTTCAGTGTCTTGGCCAGAAGAGCAGAGCGTGGGACTTCGCCATGGAGCAGACTGTGAGGTGGGGATCTGCCCAATGGGGTCTTGCAGACAAGAGCCTAGGACTGCCCTGTGGAAAATGCTCCACTACAAGGAATAGGCTCTGGAATTGTCCTTCATGTTTACCTCTTCTAGTGTGGTTTCAGCAGAAATGACAAGTCTTCCCTCTTTTTAGGGGCAGGTTATTTGTTGAACTGTTATTTAACAGGACAGCTCAAATGCCTTCTGTAGACACACAAGTGTGAGGCACATGAGTAGGCAATGGAAACATCACATTCTTGCTTGCCTGTGTGTCATCTGCAGGTGTCAAAGAAGCACAAAGGTCTTCAAAACAAGTTTTGAGGTCTGATGTTATTGCAAAGCAATTTGGAGCATATCAGGGAAAATAAATCCTGGTGATTCCTGTACCTCATCGTTAACTAACCTCAACATTACGGAAAAAGCACATCCCAATCGAAAAGAAATGGTAACAAATTTAAAGGCTTTTCAGCATCTTAGAGAGCTTGAATGTAAACCATTTGGCTTCATGGGTACACCAGAGGGATTTGAGAGCAAGAAAGGCTGTGTGCCTTTAAGTCCATGTCTAGGGTTGATTTTATGTACAGACTTAAAATACGCAGCCCTCTGATCACTGTGAAAGCCATGGGGAGGATCTATAGGTATAGCAGGCCCTGACCTGCCATCCTCAGTTGAACCATCTCAAACCTGACACTGAAGGAACACAGGACATTAGTTAGAAGCATCTGTATTGATACAGAATAAGAGACAGAAGGTGGGAGACAGCAATTTGCCATAAACTGGTGAAAATTCCTCAAAGAAGATGGAGTCAGAGCTGTCGCCGCCTTTCCCCTTCCTTTGCACAGAACGTGACTGAAGGGAAGTCTTGCTGCTGAAACTGTAAAATCTATTAAGAGGGATTTCCAGTGCCCTGGCTCAGCTGACAACTAATTTGTTTTGTCTTTGCCTAGCAGGGATTTTCCATGCAGTGGGCTCTTGTTTGCTATGTAAGTCATCCGAGTATTTGTTAGTGTCACAGCCAGAGCCAGATGATGTTTATTCTGCTAACATCCAGTCAGGCTCTGGCAGCACTCATTGAGGTCAGGGCTTTATTTATAGAAGCAGATATACATTGAGATTCATTTTCTTCCCCTTGCTGTATTCTACCTAAACTCATCCAAAATAGAAAGAAACATGCAGACATGCAAGTAATAAACTAATTGGGCCAGATCCATGCCTTAGCACAGCACCACAGAGGCCAATGGAAAAAAAGCATTTTGAACAGCTGAGGATCTTCCCCATTTTTTCTTATGGGGAAGGGAAGGGAGGGGTTTAAAACCAGAAATTATAAAGCAAAAAGCAAAACCGACCAAGCAACAAAATGTCCTGACTTGTGGCAGAGCAGATCTGCAATGCAAAATCCCTCAGCCAAGATCTGCAGTTCGAAGGGTTTTTTTTCCTCCTGTGTTCCCAATCACCAGAAAGTGCAAGAATCAGAGTGCAGAGTGCTCCATGGAAGGAAAAGTAATGACTTAAAGCAATTTACCTGCTGAAAGTGAGAAGACATTGTCAGCGTACGCAGTCTGAGGCAAAGCAAAGCAGAAGAAAAGCAGCAGGTAAGATCCCCGGACAAGCGGGCTGAGGACCAACATGCTGCCTCTGCCCTGGCAGATCCCACTCAGAGGCACAAGGCTGCTTTGGGGCTCTCTCTCCCCTCTCTCCCTCTCTGCCTTGCCTGCTCTCTGCCTCTGCCCTCTCTATGGGATGCGTGTGTCTGTCTGTGTACGTCTCTCTCTCTCTCTCTCTCTCTCTCTCTCTTCCCCCTCCCTCTCCATGCCTTTAAGAAGAAAGAATGCCAACCATTTCCCATTAAATCTTCTCCTTACACTAGACACAGTTATATTTAACTCCTGTGCTGGATCAGTTGCCCCTATTGTGGACATTAGCTGCTAAAACTGAGGCATGGGGGATTCTGGTTTTGCTAACAGAAGCAAAAAGCCTCTTTGGATAATAATAATGATGAGCAGGAATGGGAGAAATTAAGAACTGGACTGTAAACAGAATCCTTTGATACAGGCAACCAGACACTGGTGTTGAGATGGATAAAATCCCTGATTGATCATCTCCTACAGGTCACTAATTGCCTTAATGAGAGATGAGCAGTGACCCACCATCTGCTCATCCCTGGTAGCTACGCGTGTTCATGTACAGAGTGCAGCTCAAGGTGAGGGATGCCACAAAGGCTTCATGAACGCACAAACACGTTATTGGTTTGGATTTTAGTGAAAATGACAGTATCACTGACAATGCCAGACATTGCAGGATTGCAGAGTTCACTGATGGGCTGCAAGAGGGGAAGAAACAATACAAGTGCCATGATGGGGTGAATTAAACCCTGTCAGCTTGGGGGGTGGAGATGGACAACACAATACACAGCGCACTGTGAAGAAAAAAAACCTCCTCCTCTCTGAAAACCAGCAGGTGCCCTTGCTACCTGTACAAAAGTTTGGGGGTTCTGTGCCTTATTGCAACATGCATGGCTTTACAGAGTAATTTGTGCCCTCTGAATAAGTAGCAGAGACATCTTCCTCTCTGCCTGGAATCTGACAGTGGTTTCCATGAAAATCAGAGGTACACCCTTTGCTGTGAAAAACATTATTCTCTCCCAGATGGAGATGGTTTCTTTGCCCACTATTTATAATTCCCCCCAAGAATAATGTGAAAATACTTTGGATTAATTATAGAATTGATTTTTTTTCCCATTTGAGAAGAGTTCTCACTGACAGAAATGGTGACATGTTCCCCTGGGCATTAATTCCACAATTCTGGTTAAACAATCTTGGCTGTTACTTTCAACACACTGCAAACATATTGACAAAATTTTCTAAATGCAATGGCTAGATGGGAAGAATTACATCTGCCTTACACATTTTTATCCCTAAAGGACATGCTTAATATAACCATAATGCTTTCTAAAATCTCTTTCCAGTACTGCAATATTTTGGATATTTTCTACTTTAATTTAATCTTATCCACTTCGTTCCACTGTCTGTTACTTTTTAGTATCTGGCTTTTCTTAGTGAAGGTAGTAATTTGGTCTCTTTCTTCTTTGACCAAGATAACCATGGATTAAGTGAGTGCCATTAGTTCTCTTGGCATGCTGCATCTCAGTGGAAAGGAATAGCTCTTGGGAAGTTTATCATCACAAGCCCTAAGCATGCAAGATGAATGTTCAGCTGCAATCCCCGTGTTAGAAGCCTGCATGGAGGCTGGAAAAAATTGCTCAAAAGTAAAAATGTCAAGATTGTATTAAAATATTCACTTCTGAAAATAGGTGACCAACACAAGAGCTAGTCAAAGGAACTAGTGAATAATTTCAAATCCTGATGAAATCCTCCTGCAGCCTTTAAGCAACTGAAAATTTTGGTAGAAATTTCTAGTACAAAACAAGTTCTATTTGATAAGGAAATAATTAATCCAATAATAATAGAAAGAACTAAGATCAGAAGGACTAATATCTTCCCCCTCCTTCTATAATTCTATATCAGAGGTAGCCAGAAGTGATACAGAAAGCCAGGGCTGCTTCAGAGTTACAAAAAACACATAAAGTTAGCTTTGCAGTCAATTCTTAAATAGAGAATTTTTAATCCACTTATTGCAGTGGAGACCCCTGATTAAAATGGAGGTTTTGTCAATGTTCTCCTTTCCTCCAGCATAGCATCTCCATCACCCTGAGCCTGTTTGACTGAAATGGTTCCCAGCCAATGAGAGAAGAAAGCTCTGTGGGCACACCCTCTTCTGTGGAAAACACACCACTGCCCACAAAAACTCAAAATGAGATGTTTGGACTTATATTCATTTAAGAGACCTCTTCTTCATGATGTAGTTCCATTCCCTCTTTAGATTTTAGTGGAGAGCTCTCATTACAGGGCAGCGAGCCAGGCCATGTCAGAGTGCAAGTCCTGTGTTCTGTTTCCTCTAATTTTGAGGTGTTGGCCTTGCCAGCTGAGACTGCTGGCAAGGCTGGCAGTGGTTTCACAAGAGAAGGACAAAGTCCATTGGAAATAAAGTGGACAATAGCTGTGGCCTTACTGGTTGGACTCAGGCAGGTGGCAGCGCAGCAGAGTGGCATTCCCTGCTCCAGGCTGGATGGCACGGCTGCACACCTGGACACACGGCTTCCTTCTGGCCTCCATGGCAGCAGTGCCTACGGCAGAGAGAATCCTGAGGAGGGAACGTGTCACGTAGCAGGGGGAGTTTGGCATGAGAGACTTGACAAACATGTGCTTTCCAGGCCCTGAGAACTTGCTCAGCCAAGCAATGCATGTCTCCAGCTATTCCTTTTCTTAATTTTTTTTATTTGTGGTAGATTCCACAGCAACTAAAAATGCCAAAAGGCAACCAACACATAATGAAAAGAATAGTCTGGAAAGTATGTCTGTTCAAGCAGGTCTTGCTTGACCTTTTCAGCCCAAACTTGAACTCTTAGAAGCATGTGGAGGAATCTGCTGATGATACTGCCATGTAAACAGAATTTATTAACCTTTTTCTATGCAAGAATTAATGAATACTTGTTAAGAAGAAAGCTTCTTCCCAGCCCTGCTCAATTTTGATTGGCAGGTACTGCATCAACAAGACAAGGTAAAATGAATATAGTTAAAATACCATCAATCTCAAATTCTTTCATGAACACCATTCTAGTTAGAAGGACAGCGATAATCATGGAATAATTTCGGTCAGATAGGTCATCTAGTCCAAACCCCTGCAAAAAGCAGGGATATTTTAACTATATCAGGTTACTCACAGCTCCACCCAACCAGAACTTGAATGTTTATAGGGAAGGGGCATCCACAATTTCTTGGGGCAAACTGTTCCACTGTCTCACTATCCTCACCAGAAAAAAATTCTTCCTTTTATCTAGCCTAGATCTACCCTCTTTCAGTTTAAAACCATTCCCCCTTGTCCTATTGAGATACTCAATATATAATTTCTGGTTCAAAAGTCTGAAAGCTCTTTTGCTGAGGGGAGCAAAGGTAAAACAGCAACCCCAAGTTAATGCAGTAATCCAATAACATCTCATGTCTGCAAAGCAGTACAGAAGAATCCTGTTCATTCAATTAGAGCAGGGGCTGGAAAAGAATCTTTATAATTACATTTTCCTTGTGAGGTAGTTATTTAGCAACAATTGTTTTTCACAATAAAAATACCTGTTCAGTTTTGCACACTTGACTCAGTTATGTCTAACACTTAGATTTAGTGCTATGACAGGACAGCTAATGTCACCTTGGGAGATGGTGTTACCTAAAGTACAAAGGCAGCTGCTGAAGCAAAATGATAGTAAGTGCAGAAAGCCACTGAATGGCCTGACCATTTCCTTGCTGGTGTATTTGAATTAAAGTCAGAAGGCCATATAGGAACAGACCCTAACTGTGTGATGAAGTAAACACAAGCACATTCACACTTGATGGAGCTCTGGCTTACCCACAGCTCCAGCCGTGCCAGTCTCCCAGCTGGCTATCAGGACAGGAGCAGGTGGCTGGCTAAAGGCAAGCCAGCACTAGTCAGCCTTCACATCACCACCCACAGTATGAACGGGGTGAAGGAGGACATTGATGGCAGGATATCTGTTACTAGCAATTTCCAAAAGCAACTCCTTTTTGCAAATTAGGCACTTAATGGATTTGATACATTTCACAACAAGCAGCAGCCTTCTGGCCTCCTCTTTTCTCTGTACTCCATGGTACACAGAAATGCAAAAGTGACTAGGGAAGCCGATTTATCTTTACACTCTTCAGAGTGTATTTGTTTACAGAGCAGCCCAGCTCTCATTCCATGTTTAGAAAGTTCATCTTGAAATATTAAGACTTAATTCAAAGACTCAGTCCTTCACTTTTTTTTTTTTTCACTCCAATGAGTAATCCCCATGCACACATTTCTTTTTCTACTGGAGACTATAAAACAAAAGAGTTAAGGACATGATTAAAGCTTATAAGATAATTCAAAATGACTTCCATCAAAGCTACCAAAACCACCCCACTTATGGACTTGTAATGCTGGAGGGCACAACTAAGTAGAACAACTTTAAAACAATAATTCAGGTGCTGACTTTTATAAAAACACTCTTCTCCCTCTTTTTCACTTCATTTTTCTTTTGAACCTTGCCTGTCAAGCTGTAGAGCATACAATGCTTCTTGGATGAGATGCACTCATCATACATGCTCACACATATGCAGAGAATAAAGATGTATGTCTAGGATTGTCAGGTTTTGAAAATCTGGGGCAAACATGCAAAACCTTAGGATGACTAATAGAAAAATGTCCTATAGGACAAAGAAGATGGCCTTGACTGTCATAGTCCCAGCCAACTGAGGTCTCCAGTCACCACTATGTAAGTAGATAAATTGTCTTCAACATCCTCAGACAGTGAATCACAAACAAGTCTCACCTCTAACCCAGTCTGGTCTTGCAACTAGAGGAGATGGAAATTGTGTGCAAGGTAATTTTTTTCATCTTCTTTTCATTTGGATTGTCTACTGCTATTTACTTTGATTAGTAAATGTCTGCAGAACTCACTGCCTGTACCAGTGTTGCTGCCATGCTGCTGGAGGCACAGAACACAGGAATATCTGGCTGTAATTGGCTCCCACAACTC